GGGTCACATCGAAATTCTTCACCAAATTTAGAATAAAAAATAAATTTTGAACATCTTATTTTATTTTTATTATTTTAATTTTTTTTGGCCCGGCCGGGCAAGTGACCCCGGGCCACTCTGGTAGCCTAGCCCAGAAGTCATTTTGGGGGCTGCGACACCTTGGGCCCCGTTTGGAGAGAAATGAATACAAAGGTTTCGCCCCAGGGAGGTGTTTTCCCTTTTCCAAAAAGAAATATCTCAAATTAGGCTGCCGTTTTGTTTTTCTCTTTTTGGAGTTTTTTCCTCTTTATTTCGGAGTTTTTTCCTCTTTATTTCGAAAGGAACAGCGACCTGGGGTCTGCTCCCACCTACGGTTGTTGAGTTCAGGAAACTCAACGGTGTGACGCCATTTCGACATTAAAATATTCGAAACAAGAAATAAAAAAACTGAAAAAAATGCTAGAAACAGCTTCTCCTTATTTTTTATAACATGACTCCGAGAAATGAAACATGTCTGGAACAGTCGGAGTGAACGTCTCCGTGAAAAAAGGATACTCCCCGTGGTGAGGGGACAGGAGGTCACCATTTGTAAAATGGACAGGGACGACGTGGATGGCCAAATGCATTCATTGCCCAAAGAAGGAAACGAGTTTGATGCCAGACAGCCAAACACWGCTGTCAGAGTTCCTCCYTTTCAGGATGCAATGAGGACTWAAAAAACAAAAAAAAGGAAAGGCACTGAAGTTGAGAAATGTACCCTACCCTCGGTAGGGTAGTTTTCTCAACGGAAAATGGCTTCCCGCCCAAACCAAAAGGGCCAGCGCATACTACAAAACGGATTTCACGTCAAAAAAAAATTCTACAAAATGACTAACTCTAATAGGTTATTCTCCTGTATTTTGGTACCGTTAGATTCGCAATAGATCAACGGCAGAGCTCCGTCCCACCATGCCACACGTGATAGAAAGCTCAGCGTTGAGAAAACTCAACGCTGTAGGTGGGACTAGACCCCTGGGGCCTGGACCCACTAGCAAGGTATTCTACCACGCCGTTCAGGATTTCGATCACATGTGGCCTCGAGTGACTCAGTACGGCCGTCGAATAGATTGGATCTCTACGGCCTGGTAGTTTCCCAGCGGGAACTGTAAAGATGCCCACCTCCTGTCCAATGAGATGCGTCGAAAAAAAAAAAAAAAACGAAGTTGGACTAACTTGGGCATGATAGCTCGTGGCTTTGCCTGGGCGGGAAGTCAGGCATTTATGGGCTCTAAAGGGGGGGGGTTGATTTTATGGGCTCTAAAGGTAGGAGGTATGGCGGACGATGGGGACAGAGCTATGGCTGTCACTAGCTTCAGGCGCGATGCGAACCGTGTTGGCGCCGTTGGGTCTGAGTTCGACAACGAGAAAACAACCAGAGAACTTGGGAGCGAGTTTCCGGTCGCGTGCACATTTACGGACCTGCACTAGGTCCCCTAATTTATATTGGTACTGCGGCCCAGCATTTCCATTCCGGGCCTCGTAGCTACGGACCTGTCTACCGTGGGCCAGTTCGGTCATCCTTTGCCTTTTCGGGCTAGCTTCGGGACGGCCCGTTTCATTAATTTGGTGTACCTTTTGGCCTTGGCCTTGAGAGATGCACGCGTGTCTCTACCCCCTGCTTCGGCAATTTCCGAATTACCCCGGTAATCGACACAGGGGAGGCTATTAGTTCGAAGTTGAAAGGGGGTGAACCCTGTAGACTCGCGAGGGGTAGCCCGGTGGATTCCGACAATCTGATATACGATCTCAGGCCAAGGACGCGTGTCGTGTGCCGCTAAGTTCCTGCGAAGGGCGGTTTTAATCATACGGTTGGCATTCTCGGCTAACCCATTCGATTGGGACACGTGAGGTGCCGTATGTCGGAGCGTGACGCCCCTTCGCGCAAGCAGTTCTTCTACATCACCTTTGAATTCCGACCCATTGTCGGTTAGAATTTCTTCCGTATCTAGATGGGTATAGAGGAATCGTTCGATGTACGTGGCTATTTTTGTGGCCTTTCGGGTCTTACAGGGATAGACTTCAATGTATTTGGAAAAATGATCAATTAAAACTAACATGATAGAATATTCACAGCGGTTTGGGCCAGGTGGCACGTCAATATCTGTCGTGTCCATACGGACTCGTTGGAAAGGACGCTCTACTTCTGTTGGTACTATCGTGTTTGGTCCCGGTATAGGGGCGCGATCAGCGGTACAAACCAGACACTTAGCGACAATGTACTTGACGTTATCTTGTATATTGGACCAGAACCATCGGTTCTGGTCTACAGTTGCCTCCGTGACACGTATCGCGAAATGAGCGGCC